TTTGTCTCTAACTCACTATTATTTGTCTATTTGTTTTCCTGAGAAACTATTTTGTAGATAAATAATATGTAAAACGATAAGCATTGATAATTTCCTACCATTTTGTCTGTAATTTGTTAAGTCCCCCCATTATTATGTTATCCTTCTTTTATTCTTTAAAATAAAAAAAAAAAATAAACACAAAAAAAAATATTGGTGTTGCCTTAAAAATATTTCACATTTTATTAAGAATAGTTAATCTTTCAACTGGGTTTAGTGCATGCAACCTTATTTCTCAGTACATGTAATGTGATCAAGCCAAATTAATACAATGCTTAGGAGGAATGCAAATGGAAGTAGCTTAGAGAATGGGAGAATGTTGCACAAAATTTTATTTTAATATAGACTTACAACTAGAATCATAGATGATAGGCGTAGCATTGCTCTGTTCTTTCAGTGCTTCTTAAAAATGAGTTGAGCAGAACTCATGTTCTTGAGAATTGTCTGTAGAATAGTGAGGTGCTGCGAGGGCAGAGCTCCAAGTCCCTGCCTGGTAAAGCTACACATTTGTACTTTATCCACTGTGTTCACTCATCAACAAAAAGGTATCTGTGGCCATGTCTTATTGTAACAAATGTAACATATTAAGTCTCCTTGAGATATTTGTTTGAATAAGTAAAGAAAAGGACTTAAACTGATTTAAAAGGCTTAATAATAGTTTTGAAAGTGATCATCAGAAGAGAGAAAAAGGAAAAAAAGAGCCAAGGTTGAGAAAATTACAATTTGCATTTCTTAACTGATTTCATCATCTTTTCTTTCTCAATAACAGATATCTCTAGAATTACAAACATTCAAAGCCATCAACCCATACATAATCACAGATTTTATGAAAATTCTAGAGCTGTGACATGTTGTCACTATCAGATGCTTCATGGTGTAAGAACGTGCTTCTTGTTTATTTCAAGAACTGCCTGCATCTGCTTCTTGGTTAATCATGTTTCAGTTCTCTTTAAGTTCAAGGTAAAAGAAGTTGAAACTGTATGATATTCAAAGATGTCACTTAAATTCAAGTTACTTACATGTTTTACCATAAAAGATACTTGGTATACACAGTACCGAAGATTTCTTCAACTACTGAAACTAAATTCAGTCCCACTTTACTCCAGCTGTGAACTCTAGTTAACCTACACTTAAAAGAGAAACAAGCTCTTTTAGCATCAGTTTTCTAGAGATTTGAGGTCATATATATTTGAATACAACTGTGGACTTTATGCAGTTACCAAACAGTTGCATCTCTCTAACGTTTTAAAAATGATTTAGCATTACAGGCCTTCACTGCTACACTGTTGTCTCTGTGTTTACTGCATGTTTACTCTGAAGACACTTCAGTAGGGTGGCTTTTTCTGTATTGAATCTGAAGATGAGAAGGAGAGGAAGAGTATTAAAAATTGGACAAATTTTGCACATTGAATCTATTAAAGGACCACATGCCTAGATGCATACCATTGCCTTACTTTGTTATTGTTCTTTGAATCTCTCTTCTCTCTTCTTCATTTAGTCTTTCAAGAATGGATTCCAAGAGAGAAAAATGAAAGTTAATGTACTGAGCCACCTGAAAAAGAAAAAAACAAAAAAGCAAGCAGAGCATTTATGAAAAGTGCTGAGTGAGGAGGGAGAGACAAAGAGAGGCTCAGAGTAATAATATCCATACATCACTGCTAATTTCTTCTGTATCTTTATCCATGAGAAAAATGCGAGCATTATTTCTGGAAGGTCCTTGCAGGAGCCTCTGCAATAGTGGAATATCTGTTTTCTTTAGCTGTCTCTGCTCTGCAAATAAAAAGAGAATCAACTATAGTCAAGAGGTCATTCTACAAAAAAAAAGAAAAATAATTTTTTCATTTGCTTTATTTCTTTAGCTTATTTGAAACAAGATCTGAAACAAAAACAATTAGAATCACTCTTCAGAAAAGGGGCAGTCATTCATCTTTCCCGCTTATCCATGGGGAATATGTTTCAAGACCCTGATGGATAGTGGATGCCTAAAATCACAGATAACACTCTTTTCAGTACTTTTAATATTTCGTTCATCCGTGTGCTTTATCCATTCAATTATAAAAATGAGACAGAAAAAGAAAATTCGGTATAATCTCAGAACTCAAATTTTCTAAAGTTATCATATAAATACTCCTACCATAAAAGTACTCCTAGCATTCTGTCGAAGTAGTTTCACATCTGGGGCTGCATTTTTATCAAAATGAAGTGTTATGAAAGCAGCACCCTTTTATTCACCGTCTTTCCTCATTCTCCCCTCCCTACTCCTCACTTCTTTCCTCAGAGTCAAGACTGTTCTCATCCTCGGGGTTGAACTCATCTCTGAAAAGCAAAGCAAGGGTCTGGAACTCAAAAGCACCAGCACAGTTAGACTGGCATTACAAACTGCTGTTTTCATGAAGTACCTTATTTTGAGGGTACTTTATTTTTAGGTTATCTTTGTCTGAAACTGAGGCATATGATTAGCATTCTAAAATCATATCAGAGCATAGTCTTATATGTATGAGTTCCTGGGTTAAGTTCCAAACCCCAGGACCAACCCCCGTGCCCCCTACAACAGAACAGCAAAAAACTCTTTCCCCTTTCTCTGATCCTTCATTCCTTTCCCCCAACAAAGTCAGGTAATTTGCTCTTCTTTCAACCCCATAGGCAAACACACAAAGAGCTAGGCACAAAGAGTGATAAAGCTTTCTTACCTCCTGTTGCAAAAATAATGTAAAGAGCAAAATCCTGAGGACTGTTCTCAATCTGTCAATGGGAAAAAAAAAAATATATATATATATACACACAGGATAGCTAGAATAATTAACCTACTAACATCTGTTGGTTTATTGAAAGGAACTGTTAATGTGTAATTGTTTGATCAATCTTGCATGCCTATATCTGGTTATATGTGCAACCATTTTGAAGATGACATTATGTAAAATAACAAGCACTGTTAACAACCTATCATCATGTATTGAAATTCTTTATCATTTTTATTGCTCTCTATGCTGTTTTATGTATTTATTTTTATTTTTTTAAAATGAAAAACAAAATTTATATGTATATACAAGGATAGCTGAAATAGGTGTATTGCTGATGTCTGGTTTATTGAAAGGAGCAGTCAATACTTAAAATTTTCTTTTCCCTTGACCAATTTTGCATGCTTGAATTTGGTAATCAGAATGACTGATCTGAAAACAACAAGAAGAAGAAGAAAAACCGTTGAACAACTACCATCTTGTATGGTGAAGCTCTGCATCATTTCCAATATTTTTTCTGCTTGTTACTGTCTTTGATTGTTTGGTCAATCTTACATTTTTATGTCTGGTGGACTAAGCAACTTCATTGAAGATAACAGCATGTAATAGGGCAACCATTATAAATTTCTATCATTTTGTTTTGTGGTCATGTGTCATTTCTGTTGCTTTTGTGTTGGTTTGATTTTGTTTTCATTTTTGTTTTGTCAGCTTTCTAATTTTTAAAATAAAAAAACCACTAAAAATGAACATGATTTGCTGTTTTTGTTTTCATCTGATATTTTCAAAGACAGACTGAAGTTATGCATCTGTGTGCTCACTTCCTTTTTCACTTACAGACTTAAGAATTTCTCTGCTCTACTG